TTTTTTTTTTTTTTTTTCCAGGAGGGAGAGCCGATCTCTCGGGGTGTTTTTAAAACGCATGCCTCCAGGAGTTTCCTTTAAATGTGGACAGCTTCTCAGAAAGCTGCCGAAGCGCGGGTCGCATCTGTCACCCCCTCGCCACCCGTCCGCCCGCAGGCGTTCAGCAGATCCTTACCTTCCCCGGCCGGAGTGGAACTGAGACAGCTGCCAGCCGGGCCCAGCGGCGACCCGGGGAGGGAGTCGCAGCTCCCGCCCCAGGGACCGTGAACAAAGTACTCGGGCTTACCCACAATTAAGGGACCGGAGAAAAGTTGGCGAGAGGAAATCCCTGCGGCGCTGCTGTATTTTGTTCTACGGTTCCCTCCAGGAGAGTGTGACCCACGTTTTAAAAAAAGGGAACCAAGTTCAAAAAGAACGTCCTCCTGCGTTTTTCTCTCTTCGTGGGCTCCTGCCGGCTTTCCGTGTGCAAGGTTCCCCCCCCAAAAGGCCCCAGCCCGATGCTATCGATCCCTCTTTGGAAGAACACGGCGGGCCTGCAGGAAAGATTTTACCGGCTCCTGCTCTACGCTTCTTAGGGGGCTGTGGGGTTTGGAACGTGTGTGGGGGTGGGGAGTGGGACGGTAAACTCATTTTTTTTGGCTGAACCGTGCGAGTAATAAGAGGAGTAAAGAAAGAGAAGGGTTAATGGTGAAAATGACATTTGGCGCTTGGAATAGAGTCTGAGTCCGAGTCTGAGTCCGAGTCCGAGTCAGAGGAGGGGTCTTCTCTGGGCTGCTCATCAGAGGGGCACTTCCACCCCAGGAACACTTGCTGTTCCAGAGGGACCTCCCCCAGACTCGAAAAATCTCCTTTTACTTAGAAACAAGACTGGACACAAAGTTATTTAGGTGAGGGGATACAGAAGGGTAGGAGAGCAGGGACCATGGCGAGGACCAGGACAAAGAGGAGATTTTTGCCTGTTTCCCTTCAGTGGAAGCCAAAGGTTCAGTCTCTGGGTTCGCAAGGGGGACATTCTGACTTAGCCACGGATCGTATGCTTTTTGAAGACCTGGAAATTGCTCCTTGGGGAACAAACACACCCTGTGAGGAGCGATGCCATGTGCATTCGATTACTTGCTCATATTTACTTTCAGTTTGCTTTTGCTTGGTGTGGTTGAGTTGGCCAATGTCCAGCAGCCCTGAAGATGCCAGTTCCTCCCGGCCCCCTGCTCAGTCTCTGAGCGCCTTTGATCTGGGCCATCACCCAGGCCAGTTAGATTCAGCGAGGTGCAGGAAGCTGGCCAGTTTT